GCAGTGGTAAGGGAAGTAGTACCAGCGCTAAAGTTGCAGTAGATGTTCCAGTCAACCTTGTACCGGGAAAAAACAACATTGATCTTTTGAGCTTGACAGTCGGACTTCAGGTTTGATATATCTGGACCGAAAATGTTTTTGTCATTAGTTGTTTTCAAGAAAATGTTGTTTTCATCTTCGTTCTTCAATATTTGGATCCAGAATTATGGAGGACACTTTGATTTATGGGGAGCTGGGATTACCGGTCCAGTGCAGCTGAAAGATAAGAAAAGTGGACTGAGTATTGATCTTTCCTCGCAGAGGTGGACATATCAGGTTAAATCTTTGTTTCAGAATTATGAGTTCCAAATCTCAACAATGCATTCATCTTCTACTTTTTCTTTGAGCTCTAAATAAATGTTCAGGTTGGTCTAAAAGGCGAAGAGTTGGGATTTTTCAACGGAGATAAATTTTCACCGCACACGTCACAGTCTACTTTGCCCAAAAACCAACCTTTAATATGGTACAAGGTAATCTTGTATCTATATTAAAATTTCCATTTCCATAGCTCCAAGATCCGGGGGGNAAAAACGAGAATTGTGTATCTTATTTTGTTTCAGGCAACCTTTGACGCCCCCGGTGGAGACACTCCGCTAGCTATAGATTTCAGAGGGATGGGGAAGGGAGAGGCATGGGTGAATGGACAAAGCATTGGCCGGTATTGGCCAACGTACACTGCTCCAAGTACTGGTTGCACCGACACTTGTGACTACAGAGGAGCATATAGCGCCACCAAATGCCTCAAGAACTGCGGACAACCTTCCCAGATTTAGTAAGTATATTCTTACCCTTTTCAAGTTACACAATCTCCCGAGAAGCACAAGTGTATATACGAATTCAATCTTTTAGTGTGGTTTGACCTGACCTTATGGCCCACTTGTCCAGTTACCATGTTCCGCGCTCGTGGCTGAAACCAAGGGGAAATGTGGTGGTGTTGTTTGAGGAAGCGGGGGGAGACCCGACAAAGATATCGTTTGTAACTAGAGAGGTCGGTGGGGTTGCCGAGGAGAGTTTCGCTGTTGAAGATTCATGCTCCTAAGAGAATGCACATTTGGCATGTTTGGTTTGAATATGTGATGTTTTTGAGTTTTTCCTAGGTGCCAAACTCTGTTTTGTGTGAAAACTAATAGAGAGAAACATCTGCTTGTTGTTTCCCATTTATGAAATGCTAATGGAATTTTCTTTAAATTCAAATAAACCTTTTTTTTTTGTCTAAAATCCAATATTTTCAGATTGGGTTTCGACATTTAGCATAGACTTTGGGTCGTGTCTTACTCGGGCCTAATTAAAAAAAGTTTTGGATCAAGTCGATCATGTGTGTAAACATTTTTTATGTCCGACCCGAATTTTTCAGAAGTGAATCTTCCAACAAATACTCCTGGAGAGAGAGAGTTTGATTGGGATTACTTATTTTCTCATTACAATATTTATTTGAACTAAACACTAACAAAACATTTTTTTTAAAATAAAAAATTGAACCAAACACTATTAAAAATTTGAACCCAACTGTGGTTTTCATTTTTCATTTTTTTTTTGTGCACCAAACGGGCAAATGGTTTTTGTTTTTTTTTTTGTTTTCGCACCAAGAGATAAGTTTTTGCCTTTTGTACCAAGGGTGAGATAGCTTGAGAGGCATTTTAAGTTTTCATTTTAACCAAATATTTTTTTTTGTAATGAAATGAAATAAAAGTATGTAGATAAACATCTATAGAAAAAAACATGTGGCCCACGTATAAGATAATATAAAGAGAAAAGGTAAAGAAATAATTATAGTGGGGTTAAAAAATAAAAAATATATTCTGTTTTAAAAAAATGTCATAGTTCATTATTTAAAAATCACAAATTTTTTATTTACCTGTATATTTTTTCATTAATTATTTGATAAAATGAAATATCATTATCACCTCTTGACATAGTTTTTAAATATTAAATCTATACGAATTATTAAATAAAATAAATTCAAAAACAGTTAGGGAGGGAGATAGTGCATGGGAGAGAAAAATGGGGCCTACGAAAGAAAAAAAATACGAAGTATTAAAAATTACAACCGCATGAAATGAAAGAGGGTAAAATACGGAAACTCTAAAAATAGTGTGAAGAGCTTTGACAATTGCCATGCCGGCAACGAGCTAAATTTTACTCAGCAAACAAGTATTTTGAAAATTTAAATTCTTCTTTTGTCTCACCAAATAAGTGTTTTGAAAATTTTAACATCTGAGATCCCGGCAGGTGAGACCCTTGCCTTTGTAAGAGCATCTCTAACCATAGCATTTTAGCTTGCTAAAAGTTATAATATAGCTAGCTAAACACTTTTGTTCTTCTCCAAAGGGTGTGCTTTATTTTAGCAAGTTTGCCAAAAAATGACCTTGACTTGCTAAATATGACAAGTCCTTCAAACTTTAGCAAGTCAATACTTAAAAAATAAACTAGCAAATTGTGGTTGGAAAATGAAACGAGAAAGTGTTAGCTATATCACTATTCACTTGCTATAATGTAAGAATAGCAAATCCATATAACAAACATGGTTGGAGATGCTCTAATTGATGTTTCAAACTCCTAGTGTGTCACTATTCATCTAGTTTGGATTTTTTATAGTTAATTAGAAATAACTGTTAACTTATAATTAAATAAAACTTTTATGGTATGTTAATTAAAAATAATATTTTTGAAAATATTATACAAGATAAATTTAATAAAATTATTTTGTATCAATATCTAATATTAATGTTATTTAATTTATAGTCAAATTTTATCAATTTGGCTACAAAAATCAAAACATGAAAAATATGATGGGACGTAAATGCTATAAAAAAACATCACAATAATATTAAGGGGCTTGTATATAATGTAGTTTTTTAAATTAATAGAGCTTATATAATATTTTAAAAATAATAACATAATTATGTATACGATAGTCTATTCCTCGAAAAAAATGTACTCCGGGGCATACGGTAGTGGGTCAAATAGCTCTAGAACCCTATGTGGTTTGGAAAAATTGACACCAATACCCACTTGTTTTGTAAACTTAATTCTTAAGTCTTCATGGTTTCAAAACGTTACACTCACTTCCCCTCCAATCATTTTCTAGTTATTTTCCAACAAAGAGAGCATTGATACCTATTTCCTATACCCTAAGGGACACAAGTCTTCATTTCTTATTTTTCGTTTATTACTTTGTTTTTTCCCTTTTTAACTCTTTGTTTTCCCTTATTTGAAAAGTTTTTTAAATTACTATTAAATTTTTTATAATGTTTTTAAAAATTCAAAAACCTTGTATTTGAATTGAAAATAAAAAATTAACATATACTCCATCTATCTCAAATTAAACCTTTTAACTTTTTATTTTCTAGAATAATATTTTGGTAAGTTCAAAAATAAAAAAACAAAAGAAAAAAAAATATGGAAAAACAAAGTGAAAAAAATTGAAACATCTAAAAAATAATTTTATACAAAAAGGAATTTCCGGAGCGCCTAAAAAAATCTTTAGAATTAGAATTTCCAACTAGGATATTCATTTATATTTTTATATTATTTTATTTCTCATTTTATTCCTCGTTTTTTGAAGTTTTCAAAACAATTTTTTATTTTTTTATTTTATAAAATAAAAAATAAAAATTGTTAATTAAAAACGTACATATGCAGTATATATTAATCTTTTTTCAAACAAAGAAATTTTTAAATTTTAAGAACATTATAAAAAGAATTTTAAAAGTAAATTTAGAAAAATTTGATTAATAAAAAGATAAAACAAAAGGGAAAACACAAAAAATAAATGAAAATAAGAAATGAGCACCAGTGTCTCTTATAATTTGGAAAATATGTACCAATGCCCCATTCTTTGATTGAGAAGTAGCTAGAAAATGATCAGATATGGTATAAGTGTAACGTTTTGAAACTACAGAGAATTTAGAAATATGTTTTGAAAATAATTGGATAATGGTGCTTGTTTTTCAAAACAGAGGAGATACTTGTGTTATTTGGCCAAAGATAATGTATATCAACCATGATAGAGAATAGGGGTGCATACAAATCAAATAAAATGTATTCGATTCGTGATTCGTATTCGCAAAGAATAATTCATATTCGCTATATTTGAATTCGAATCTGAATACAAATCATATTTTAGATTCGAATTATTTTCGAATTCGAATACAAATATTAATAGATTCGATTCGTTTATTATTCAAATTATTCAAATATTATAATTTATAAATAAATTTATATATATTCTAATATATTAAATATTTGTGTACATATTTTAACATATTTTAATATATTAAATTTTTGTGTACATATAAATTTATATATATTCGAATATTGTAATTTATAAATAAATTTATATATATTCTAACATATTTTTACTACATTTTACATTATTATAAAATAATAATTTAATGTCTTTAAGAAATCTGTTTTAAGAAAAAAAAAAATATTTTCGAATTCTAATATTCGAATAAGAATTCAAACACATCAAATATCTATCGAATCGAATACTGCATTAAAATTTAGTTGGAGCATGCTACATGTATCCTAGAATTTGTACCCCATTTATACACCAACATTTTGATGGTTTACACTGACACAAAGTGTTAGTGCGTTAACAAAAATTTACACTAACACAAAGTATTGGTGGATTAACAAAAATTAGTATTACACCAATATAAAATATTAGTATATCCTTATGAGGAACAATATTCTTAGAGTACAAATAGCTCTATCCAATTTAGTCTCAAGTTGCACAATTTACAAGTCCTCCATCTGGCACTTTTTTTAACTGAAGTGGCGGCTGGCAAAACTTTCGGAATAACTGTAAAAGACACCAAACGTTTTCACTTTTTTTTTCTTCATTTTCAAACCTCGTTCTTCTTCTGCATTCCTGCTAATGGTCTATTTATCCTTTTTCAATTTCTTTTTTCACGAAAGGATAAATGTCATTTAACCTTGTGTTATGGTGAGGCTTGAGGAAGCATAAAGATGTATTCTATAGATCAATGAAAATATTTGTGTTCTGGCGTGAAACAAAAAAAAATTAAAAAAAGGTACCAAAAAAGCATAACATTGATACATAAGATAGGAATAATATTAAGGGGAATAATATTAAGGGGCTGTTTGGCAACAAACAATCACCCAAGAAAAAACATAGCACACAATTGACTCCACAAGCTAAGAGTGGTATAAATCACATATAGGATCTACCGCTTTCACCCTTGCATTTATTCTCCCAAACAGACACTCAAACAGAAACAGATGTAACAAAAACACAGTACAGTTAAAAACAAGATGATAACAAGGCCTCAAAACCAGTGAGCAAAGACGCCACTGTTTCTAAGGCTTTTCAAGAGGCTCACGCAATCCCCACACCGTGCCGGCTTCCACACCGTGGTGTCCGAGCAGCGAAGGAAGAGCTCGTCCACGTGGCATATCAGACCGGTCCTGAACAGCTCGTCAAGAATCTGCAACTCCACCGGGCGAGCGTTCATCATGAGCACCACGAACGGCGGCTCTTCTTCCCCACTCACCGTCTCATTGAACCAACGGATGAAATCGAACTCGTCCTCCTCCTCCTCGAGATCCTCGTCGGTGTAGTTGATGTCTTGCTCCATCTCCTCCTCCCCCGCGAGTCCCGGGTGGTAGACGAACGTGATCCCCGGAGTCTTCACGTACAACGAGAGGGCGTACGCGTTGTGATCGATGACATAAGCGTCTAGCGCTTGGCGGGGAAAATGATAGCTCGAATTCAACATTGTCGTAATGGTCATGTCCACAAGCTCTCCCGCTCCCACGTTTATATAAACGAGCTTGTTCCTTGAGGAGACGTTCATGTAGCGGGGCAAATAAGAAATGTTTGTCTCGTCGTTGACGAGGGGCTCGAGGAATGGGATCAGGGGTTTGTTGTTTGCAACCGACGGGCAATGATCGGGTAGCTTGAACCGCTCAAAGAGCGGCATCGCGTCGCTTTCTTCGAACCTCTTCTTGAAGAGGACGAGGGTGAAGGGGCCCACAGAACCCACGTGCGCCACGTCGGAGCTCTTCAAAAACGAAGAGACCGGCGTGGCGTGCGTGACTAGGTTTCCCGAGTAAAACCCATGGGTGCCGAGAAGCACGGCGCCAGAGCCGCCAGGGCGTAGGACCCGCTCGATCTCGAGCACGAGGAGGGCGGGGACTGACACCCTGCCGAGATCTCCGGAAAACACAAAGTCGAAAGCCCCGTCGTCGTAATCGAGCTCGTACACGAACCTCCTCTTCGCGAGGGAGAAGAACGGGTGGCGGTTAACAGCCGAAACATCAGAGAATCCCAACTCTCTCAAGGCCAACACGGCTTCATCAGCACCCTCTCCAACACAGAGTGACTTCACATCAGAGTCCAAGAAGCTGGTCACCATCAACTCCTCGAACACGTTCTTCGCTAAAGCCCGATTCTCTCTGCAAGGAATCGAAACCACCCCAAATGCATATGCGAGCTTGAAGAAACTACGGCTCAAGCTGAAATTCAAACCACATCCATTATCAATGCTCGGCATCCACGGATCCGAGAACTGGACATCATGCCCCAATTGAGCGAGCGATACGATTACGACTCCAGCCCCAAACATCAACATTTTGAGAAGCAAACGCCTCATCAGCGAACCGCGAAGAACTTGCCACTTCAAGGCCTTCAAATCCATCTCTATCAAAACTCAATCCCAAATCTCCTTAATTGATTCCTAAAACCTCTGTTTTTTACCAGATCTAGAAAGAGAGAGCTCGTTCCAAAGCAGAATTCTCGAGTAGAAACTCAGATTCGATGAAAAATTAGGGGAATTGAAGCCAAACGGGGAGGAGAAGGAGGGTTTAGCGGGTGCAAAACCTGGAGGAGGTGTGATTTCCACCCACGAGTAATCCCACCGACATTTGAGAGCAAAGCCAGACCTTCTTCGGAGTTCTTCTCGCCATTGGATCGTACCAGTCCGCAATAACCATCTGGGAATCGACCTCAATCCATCACAGCTTTCTAGCTTACATGATTTGCGGGCAGCCGACACACTCGAGATCTATGTACAGTGGGGATAAACCCTAAAAAGAGGAAATGCAATTGAGGAAGAAAGAGAGGAGAGAATTGAAAGAAGAGTGTGGAAGCTGGAGAAAACGCGGAAGAGAGAGTGCAATGGGAGGAGCAGATAAATGGATGGAAGAGAGAGAGAGAGGGGATTTGCCAGCAAAACAATACAAGCATTTCACGTGTGTGGGTCCCGCCATTGTGTTTGCTATTGGGACTTGACATGGTACCTAATCCTAATAAACTCTCATTGATTATGGTGTGAATTAGATAATATTCAAGTCAAATAGCTCCGGTACCTCCTGTGCTTTAGAAAATTGGCAGTAATATCCTCTCTGTTTTCAAAACTTATTTCCAAAATTCCTGTGATTTCAAAATGTTGCACCCACATCCCCTCTGATCATTTTCCGGTGAAGAGTGGGCATTGGCACATAATTTCTATATCATGGGAGCATTCGTGCTCATTTCTTATTTTCGTTTATTATTCTTCCCTTTATTTAAATATTTTCAATCTCTTTTTCCTTTTCCTAGATTTTTAAAAAATATATTTTCAATTTTTTATAATGTTTCAAAAAATTTCAAATTCTTTGTTTCTAATTACAATGTTTGTTTCCGTTTAGGGTTTTGATATTGACAAACCGTCGGGAACATGGGACAAAATGAAAAGATTCAAAGTTATAGCAAAATCTCTTTGAAAGAACAAAAAGCACAAGAAAGGCATTGACGTTTCTAAAGACGACGAGATTGGCGTTTTGAAGACGTTGTCTAAAGACTTAGGTTTTTAATGTAACAAGCTCATTCAATTTCTCTACATCATGGATCAAAACAAAATAAGTTTTCATGCATCAAATGAGTGTTTTCATAAATGATTTTAAGTTTCTAAAATACCTGGTTCCTGCCCAACCAAAACCATAACCATCGGTTATCGGCGTTCAGCTATGGCGTTCGGTTTTTGGCATTGGTTATTGACATTTATTTTAGCCAAATGGTATTTGGGTTTTTACCTTTGGTGTTTGCTTTTGGACACATTTAAAGGTTTTCCAAATGATTAGTTTTCAAAAACCATAACCTTTGTTTTCTGGCATTCGACGCTGATTATCGGCGTTGGTTTTTGGCGTCCAAATCAATCAAGTGGTTTTTAAGATTTTATGATTGGTTTTTACTTCTGAGCATATCCAAATAGTTCTCTAACAAAAACAAGTCAAAAACCACCTTTCATTTTTGGTCTTTTGGTGAAAACCACGTGAAACGGCATAAACTTGGCTAGCCGTGGTTTTTACCTTAATGACGTGGTTTCTAAGTTTTTATACTTGGTTTCTAAATAAGATACATTATATAAGAGTTTCCAATACTTGGTTTTCATTTTGGAGAACTTTGGTTTTTGACATCGGTTTTCGGCGTTGGCAGCCAAACCATGGTTCTGGCAAACCAGCCCAACATGCATGTCAGAATTCCCAACAGCGATGTTGGCATTCGGAGTTCTTGGCAGTAGGTTTTTGAACAGCGATGTTCAATTGTGAACAACGATGTTTTCAAATGACCGTTGGGCTATTTATGACAAAATCTTTCCATTTTTGAAAGTCAATCACCCCAACATCGATGTAGACTTTTAGACATCGATGTTTTGATGACCGTTAGCCATTTTTAAAGGAAAGTCAAAGCCAAAACAGCGATGATCACTATATGAACAGCGATGTTAAGCTAAAATTCTGTAGACCAACTTTGATTTGATTTCCACAAATCATGTCATTAAACCCCAATCAACTCCCATTCGTTACACATCATTTTTGGGTATAAATAGGGGTCTCTTGGGTCTTCTTTTCACAGCCATTCCTCCCACATTTCATAGCTTTACATTGCATCATTCCATAAACTTTTTACATACCTTTTTAGAGTCATTTCTTGAGGAATTGAGTGTGTTCTTAATCTAAATTAGTTTACTCATATTCTACTCTAGAAGAGAGTTTTTTTCTTGAGTGGTTAAGTATTGTGAACACTTTAATGGAGGTTTGTTCCCTTGGTTGTACGAAGGAAGGGCATATTCTTTCGGGTTGAAGTCTTGTAGTGCGGTATCTCCGAGCAAGTGTATTGAGGCTCGTGGGACTCGAGTTATCAGGTTGTAACAGTTTGTTAAGCACCCGTAAGCTTAACGGAAGTAGTGTAGCTCGATAGAGTCTCTCGGGAAGCTGGACTAGCCACACGTTGTGGTGAACTAGGGTAAAATCGGTGTGTTCTTTCCTTATGCTTTTTTATTCCGCTCTTTACTTTATCCCTATGATTTTTATTTCGCAAAAATTTATAAACATTCTCGTACCTCACTATTAACCCCCCTCTACTGAAGGACACTTATTCTAACATTTGTGTTTGAAATGAAAATAAAAATAAAAAAATAACATACATTACATCTATCTCAAATTAAACATTTTCACTTTCTGTTACTTAGAATAATTTTTTGGAAAGTTCAAACTTAGAATAATTTTTTGGAAAGTTCAAAAAAAAAGAATAAAAAATTAAAATATGGAAAAACGAAATGAAAAAAATTAAAATACGCAAAAAAGTCTTATACAAAAAAATGGACACGCCTAAAAAAGTTCTTAGAATTAAGATGTCCAAAAAGGATATTCATTTTTATTTTTGTATTAATTTGTTTCTTATTTTATTCCTCATTTTTTGAAGTTCTCAAATAAAATTACTTTTTTCAGAAAAAACAAAAATTGTTAATTTAAGAAGTACATATGCATTATATGTTAATTTTTTCAAACAAAAATAACTTTAAATTTTAAGAACATTATAAAAATAATTTTAAAAAAACCTTTATTAATAAATGAAACAAAAAAATGGAAAAAATGGAAAAACAAAAAATATGCGAGAAATAAAAATCAGTACTTATATTCCCTATGGTTTAAAAAATATGCACCAATGCCCCCCTTCTTCGCCGGAAAAATGGCCGGAAAATGATTAGAGGGGGCACTGGTGCAGCATTTTGAAACCACAGGGACTTTAGAAATAAGTTTTGAAAACAGAGGGGGTATTAGTGCTTGTTTTGCAAACCACGAGGGGTATCGGCGCTATTTGGTCATAATATTCCTATATATCTCTAAATTAACTTGAGTTTATTTTCAAATAACTTCTATAATTGATCTAAAATTGAGTCTTTTTTTATATTTAGGACATGTTCTTTTGAGTTGGAATTTCAGAGTTGCATATTGGAAGAAACTAGAAAGAGCTGAAAGAAACTAGAAAAAGTTAGAAAAAATTAGAAGAAGCTGGAAAATATTTAAAAAAATAAAGTGTTAAAAAGTCAACCAATTAAATGATCACCAAATAAATATGTTAGAAAACTCTAACTTTGGATAAAAATAGCCATCCTTGTTATGTTTGAAGGATATAGATTTGATATGTTATGGTATTCTATATTAATAATATATAAATATCTTTTTTAAGTCGTTGAAAGAAACATGAAGGGGTTGGAAAGAACTTGAAGACGTTGGAAGAAGTTTGAAGTTAATTTTTCCAACACAAAGGAACGGGTCTTAGTCTTTAAGAATATCAAACATTGGCCTTGGAGAATAACTATTGGCGATTGGGTGTTTGGATTGAATTGTATAAGTTATTCTGACTCGCGCCTTGTATTAGTTGTTGGTGAATAATTATTTCGCAAAAGGTAATTACTCCTAAATAGTTGTTTGTGGCATAAATTGTATTCTTAGACCTATTTGTATTTAGGGTTTTAAAACGAACGAACAATTTAGATTCGATTCATGATTTGTTAGCATAGAAATATTTATTAGCATTCGAAAGAAAAGGCATACGAATACGTATGTATATGTACTCCATCTGTCCCAGTGTATTTGTCCAGTTTCATTTTTTTTTAGTCAAACTGGATAAACTTTGAACTTCATTTTAACAAAAACCGTAATGTATTTTAGTATAAAAATGACTTTATTGGATTTATCGTATTGAGAACTTTCAAAATTGTATTTTGTTATGCTAATATGAAATATAAATTGAGAGTAATTGGAGTTCAAAGTTTATCCAATTTGACTCGAAAAAGTCAAAGTAGACAAATGCACTGGGACGGAGGTAGTATTTGATTTTATATGTTGACGAATATATTTGAATTTAAAAATAAAAATTTATACCTAATATATCTGCTTCATAATTAACACATAGCATAATATTCAGAGTACTTTGTAGTTGACAGGACGTCATGTAGAAAAAGTACTTGAATAATTTTTTTAGGTTCAAAAGACACACACACACACACGAATATTGGAATATCATTCGAATCGAATATGTCTCTATTTGTATTTGTTTAAACTTTGAATCAAAACTAGTATTTGAATTTGTATTTTAATTATGCGAACTGAATTGTGTATTCGAACACGGATCACGAATCAAATTTAAAGTATTTGATTTGTTTACACTCCTAGATGGGGGTGGCAAACAGTGGGGGTGGGGTTGAATGGGGGGGGAGGTGGCCCGCGTGATAGGAAAGAGGGGGCTTTGTTGAGAAGAAGAAAAAAGAAGATGAAAGAAAGAAGGAAAAAAGGGGGTGAAAGAAGAAGAAGAAGCGAGTGGGTAGGGAGAAGAAAAAATAAGGGTAAATTTTAAGATTTCAAAATATACTTCTTCGGTGCTAAACTAATTCTTCGAGTTTGACTATGTTTGAAGTTCAAGGAAAGTAAAATTATGTAGTTAAAAGTGATGCAAATGAGAGAGAAAAAAGGTAAATCACAAATTTAAAAACTTTCCAAAAAAGAAAGAGAAAGTTTAATTTGAGACAGTCCAAAAAGAAAATTAAAATAATATGGGACGGAGAGAGTATAAAATTGTAATATGACTCAAATGTCCTGATGGTCACCCGAGAATTGGCTCTAGATACCAACTCGAAAGATTTTTAAATTTTCAAGTACTTTTGTAATAGAATATAAATTTTGGATAATAAAGTAAAAAATAATTGAAAATTTATGTATCATCCGTGAAATTTACACATAAAATATAAAAATAATAATTGTTCTACAGGTGGTGAGGAGTCCCAATATATTTAGTATGTATCACACATACGGATGTGCGGTGTTTTCTGTATATCAGTGTGAGTACTCGTTTTTTAGTAACAAAATATTCAATTCAGACACTTATTTGCTTTGGTGTATATTCAAAATAGGTACATTATAAAATATATGTATATTGAAAATTATATAATAATCAA